CAAATTGAAATGCCGGATAAAAACATTCCAAGCTCTTTCCCTGATTGTCATAGTAAACAAATTTGAGAGAACACGTCTGGACTCGCACAAACTAAATATTTCCCGTGGGCTATTTCCCTAGTTTGCATTACAGCACACACAAAAATTCCCCATTCAAAAAATTCACGATATAATGTTCCCCCATTGAACTCTGAGGAGACACCTAACGTGGCATTCGGAGAGCGAAGAGCGCTTTATTCTGCAATAGATCACGTCTGCGAAGCGCATTTAGTCAACGGGTAGAAAAGGTAAGTCTGCTCATAAAATAACAATGGTTCAAACGTAGTTTCAGTTAAAGTTCTTAATGAACATCAAACCACTTTCAAACTGCCTGTCCTCCCTTTACTGTGGCCAACAAGGTTCACGGCGTACCATTGTACAACACTCTTTAACAATATTATTTCATTTCATACCCGCGCTCCAGAATGGACACACAATCACGCCAGAACTGGGAAGCATGGAAAAGGAAAACACAAGTGCAGACCCTGCTCTTGACACAACGAGCGCTTCTTCTCACTGAAATCACTTGAGGATTGGAACATTGAAGGATGTTCGGGGATATAAAAGGCACACGAGCGTTTGTGAAGATTGCAAAGAAAGATCATTTAAAAGGCGAATAGTATCAGAGACTTCATATATCGTTTTCATAAAAGACCAAGAATTTTCTTCATTTTTAAGGAAGTTTCTCTACAAAAATTCATGACTGGCATCCTTTAAGTGACAGCTTACAATACGATCGGCCATCGATTCATGAACTGATTTCCCATGGAACCAATATCGCAGACTTAAACACGGTTTTCTTCACTTTGACATGATTGAATTTGTCATGTTCAGTACACAAAAAGGATATGTGAGGTAAGTTCGTCGATGATTAGGTTTTTTTACTTCATGATCTATAAATTTCACAAGTTTTCTTTAAATTTACGACTTTCATAAAATTGAACTGTTCAGAGGTAGACTGATCACGATTCGAAATGTTATTCTTGACCTCAATTCCACTCTGTAAGTAAAATTCGATTTCAGGTAGTCTTAAAAGATGTATCTCTTTCCAGGAAACCCAATAAAATTAATTCAGCAAAATTCAATCAACACGACAACCGACTAGACGAAACGGAACCCTAATTAGAGAGGCGATGGATTTTTAACTGTCTGTGACGGATAGAGTTTCACTGAGCACAATCCATAACGATGGCAGAATTTACACTGTGCACTGGTAGTGATTGGTATGTAGTTTCTCCCAACAACTTCAATACCCTATCAGATAACCTGGTAATGAGAATAACTAACAAAATCAACTTAGTGATATGGTTCTGATATAAGAAACCACATTCTCAGAATTAAGAAAGAAAGAAGAGTTAAGCCTTAGTTGGGATAATTGTTTTAATGATCACAGCAGTGAAGGAATTAACAACAGCTAAATTTCTCGTAAAAACTACCAACGTTCAACCTGCATTTGAGCCGCGCTAAATGCGTTTGTGAAAAAGTCCTATTATTACTGTTGTAGCTCTATCTTACAAATAACGGTCAATTAACGGAGAAGTGTGACCTAATGTTAATTGCGACTGGGCCAATCATCTATGAGTTAAATCTGTGACGTAGTGTCGATGTACCACGTGGATCGAAGACTTTACAAACCGAAAGAAACCTTATCAACACACCCTATTTCTCCAGCTCACCTAAGGTAGGTTTATTTCCCATTTTGCACAACTATTTCAGCGGTATTTTTCCCGAGTCTTGCAATAACTTGAGAAAATTTACCACCCATGAGACAAAGAAGACAGCGTCGCTCTTCTGATAGCACATTTCACGAACTGTAACAGGGTATGA